TTTTTCCCTGCCAGATGGCTTCTGTATCACGTGGTATAAGGCTCCGCCCTAGTCATTTGTTGAGCAGGAAGCGCGAGCGCTTGTTTTCATGCAGATTATGTCCCGGATCAAAATGCGGTACAATTTTTTTTTTTTTTTTAAATCGTTGTCATTTGGAAATGAAATCGCACATAAGTATGAATCGAGATCGCGATTTTCTAACGATTAATCGTGCAGCCCTATTTTAGAGTAAGTAATATGTAGGATATTAGTATTAAAAATCAAGTGTTTGCTTCGGAAACCCAATTGAAAGTATAATTTCCACTCTACTTTGTGTCTGTGACAGGATACATTGTTTTGCCATTTACCATTTGCCAGCTATTCACTCATCCTAGGTGAGCGAGAGGATATGAATTTGCCTTCTTTGTTCGAGATTGATTTCTTCTTTAAGCTGGAAACGCTGGCATTTTCCTAAATGTTCCCTGAAGGGAAGAATAATCCAAAGTCTATATTTTCTGTGGACACATTGGCAAATTCACATGCACAATTACATCAGCCTTTCTTGTCTAGTAAATGGAAGACATCGCGATTCATAAATAAAAAGCTGAATACCTGCTCGGCACACACAATATGAAATGCTGTAGGCTGGTTGTTTTCTTTGGATAGTCTTTTTTTGTTTGTTTGTTTGTTTGTTTTTTCGGTAAAGCTTGCCACATTTACAACCTCATGGAAGAATACTGAGTTTAGCTTGACAAAGAAAACTCACCATATTTTTCATAGGAATGAAAACTTTGGTTGGTATTAGGAGCTATAGTTTCTATTCCCCTGAAAAATCCCATAATGCCCCCTTTTCTCTCTATTGGGATTTTATTTTGCCCCATTTTCTTTGACCTCCATAAAACATATTAGTAAATATCTCAGCTTTAACTTCATATTTCATATCAGAAAACTTGTTTGATATTCTCTGGGCTTCTCAGCTGAGAACTAAAGTCTCCAAGGCTTTTTTTTCCCAGTGATTTGGATTACATGCTTGTCATACCAGAGAATGCTTTTTCTCCTCCCACTGGTTTATATTTGAAGAACTAGATGAAGCATTGTCAATAAAGACATTATAAGATTGACCCACCTTTTCTAAAACATATAAGCTGCCTCATATGTCCATTGCTAGCTTTTCTCCTCTTATGTTTTTTTCATGTTGTGTTGGTGTGTGACATTTATGGTCATGTATGAATTATATTTTAAGTAAGTTCAACTAGTGAGTTGTTCTATGTGTATTTTCTTTCTATTTGTAGCACAGATTTCTGGATGTTGCCTTTTTTTTCCTTATACACATACATACAAATGATTTATAATCACTCTGACCTGTCTATCAACATACCCTCCTGGACATCTCTGCTTAGAGAATGTCGATTTGAAGTCATCATCCCCTCAAGTATTTTATCATGTAATGCATCAATAAGCTTCTTTTTTATATAATTGAACAGGATTAAATCTTGACGGAAATCAGTTAACGGATGCCTAGCAGGTGCGTTTTTTATTTCCAGATGTCAGTATGCTGTATTCAGCCTGAATACCTGCCTGTGTGGCTGCATGCGGATCCTACTTTACAATATAATGTAAGTTTTCCACATGTTAAAGCAGCACTGTAGATTTGCCTTTGTTCAGACTGCTTCTAGGCAAAAATGTCTCCATCAGATGTTTTTTTCAGGCCAGGCAAACTAACAGCTTTGGATCAAAAGACTTGTCTGCTCTCCAGGGAAGCCGACTTGGGTCGGACCCAATGCAGATTTCATGCTATTACGGACTGCAGAAAACCTGGATTCTGTTTTGCTCATCAGCACATTGCCAATGCGCTGCCATATTTTTTGTGGTGACAATTGCAAGTTTGTGACAGCCTACATTAGGTCACGAATACGGCACATGTCTTTCTGTATAAATCAGTGTTTGCATCACTTCCCGAGGTGCCGACAGTATTTGGGATTGGAGCATTAAATAAACGCAACACACCCTGTGCATAGTGTACTGATCTGTGGCACAATGTAAGTGAATGATTTGTTTTTCAATGGTTTTAAATGTGAAATCGGGGCAAATTGAATATCATTGGGTGGTTATAAGTTAAATGAATGTTTTTACCTCAAATTTTGATCCGTAACATTATGAATACGAATTTTGGGGTCTTTAAGTCATTTCTAAAAACTTTTAAATAAAGGTAAACACTGAAAAAGGATAACAAAGATACTGAGAAAAAACACATAAAAGAAACAAAACCTTAGGGACGCACCAATACTGAACGCTGGTATTGACTGCTCTGACATATTGGCAACTACGACTGAACTGACTAGCATCTATGGTTGAAAACTACCACTATCAGCATCTTCTAATGGCCACACTGGCTGTTGGTATCAGCCCAAAATTCACAGAATGCACACTCCTATAAAGAACCAACTACCTACATTGTTTACATGCAAGTTTTAAGAACTATTGTCCATTTATATACTCTTGTGAAATTTAAATCTGAAAATGTTATTGGAAAGTCCAGCTGAATTAATCACTGCCTCTCAATATATGTCCAATTTTAAAATTCTGTGATAATGTCAATTATTTTGTCTCTGTAGTCAAAAAAATCACCATTTATTTGGTGGAGAAACTTTCTCCTTGTTACCTTTATTGGACCTACTCAGTACTTTAGCCATCGCTACTTTTTCTGATTCAGCTCCATACATAAATTATTATGCAGGGCAGTTCCTAAGTCTCGACAGCAGCTCAAACCTCGCCTTGAGCTCTGACACAAGCAGTAGTTCAGAATAAGCGTATCAAATTTCATCAGCTTGCCTGTAAATCAATCACCTCGGCCGCTCGATGAAGGGGGCATCGGAGTTAATGCACCAAAGGCAAGGGGCAAATCCGGAGGTTTTTTTGTTGCTTTTTTTAAACTGTTATCTCTTGTAGGAAGTTCCAAGTGTGGAAGCTTTCTGACAGCTGAGTTTCGACTCACACAGCTACAAACACTCAAGCTGGCAAGTTTAGCCACCTGCAGTAATGAAATGCCTTGCTCAAGGGCAAAGTTAAGGTAGTTGGCCTTGAAGGGAAGGATTTTATGTTCCCTTCCAGATCCAGATTTTCCAGGTCTATCAGATTTAGACTAATTCCTACAATATACCTCCAGGCTTCTGCTGCTGCTCTGACCTTTCAAGGTATATTAAGTTAAATGATTATCTTCCCAATGGTAAAATGTAATGTTAAATTGACATTGTTAATTCATATTGCATGTTTTATTCATAACCCTGGAAAATACTCCTGCTATCTCGTGTGATACCCATGAATTTCCACCTTCAGTATGCGCCTCATCAATAGTCAGCGAAACATTTTAGCTGCAAACTACACAGTACTTTCTGATGGCATGATTACATTTTGTAAAAACCATTACCACAGGAAATGTGTGCAGAATGTTTAGCAGCGAGTCTTTTGTTTTTCTTTCTATTTGACGAAACAGAATGTCAACTTTTTAGTTTATCTGCACGCTCCCTGTGGAAATGCCTTGTCTTACTCTTATTGCATTTAACAGAACTGCAGGCATGTATATAAACTGCACACTGTACACCTAGAGAGAATAGTTTTTGTTGTTTGTAGTTTTCCATTTTATACTGAATGAATAATGTCGCCACCACTCTGACCCTAATAAGCAGTTGGCTCGGTATTCTTTTGTCATGCCAGACAATTTCTCTTGCTGTTCCGCAGATTATTCTGTGGAGCTGATCTTAGATCATGATCAAAGACAGGATTTGGACCACATGCAAACCAGCACCCTTCAAACAACACGGTCGAATCTGCAATTCTAACCATGTTACTCCTGATCTGTTGTAATTATCTAAAGACCTTCTGTCCACAAGAGGGAAGTGTTATCACATTCATCCCCAAAATCATTTACAGCCAGTACCTTCCTGTTTGGTTGCTCCTGACAGTAGGATGAGAAAGTATGGAACAAGGAAGGGAAAGTGTGGTTAGTCAGCTCTCACAGTTGCTTCATGATATAAACTAGCTCTCTAGCCCCACCCCACCAGACACACACAGAGTCATGGTGAGTCATTTTTCGCAGTAAAATCAGATTCCTCCAGTGTCACTTCCTCTGTTTTTAATTTAGGAGCCATTACATCACTAGCAGTGTATGCATGGATAACTTTGGATCATAATTCAGCTTTCACTGCCCCAGCTTATTTTTTAAAATTGTGGTTTACTTGAGGTCTGGGGTTTCTGTAGGCGTCACTGAGGAGATTCATGGGCATTCCCCACTTGTAAAAATAATATACGTTCTAAATTATTCAATTAATTTGAAGTTGAAAGTGTAATAATTGATGGGTAAGTCTTATTGGGCTTTGCCTTATGAGATGAGCCTCAAAATATGTGCTTCACCTTTGGCCACTGGAAATAAATCAAATTTGATTTTTATACTGGTTTGTTTCAGTCTGCTAGACCACGCAAAACAGACAATAACAAAGACAGAAATAGGATTCTTTGGCTGTTAATTTCACTGGCTGAATTCTCTGGCTCCCTCGATACTATGGGCTAAGAAATAGTTTTAATATGTAGGCCATGTATTCACTGAAAGTTTTTATTTTGATTCGCATTTCTCTTTTCCTGTCAGACGCCTCGCCAAGTGTCAATAGTTTCAGTGGCTCCGTTGGCCCTAAGGGGATTCCAACATATCAGTAGTGCGTGCACTGGATTATTCCACTTTTGTATACTTATACGGGTTGTGCCATTGTCTTCCCACATCCCCACTCAGTCTTTTCGACAGATCTATCCTCCAGCAGTTGTATTTTTTACTCCTCTGCGAACATTTTTAAAGCCTGCTCCAATCGTGCCATATATGAGACCACATGGCATGCAAAAAAAAAGTTGAGAGCACCCCGAGTAGGGGCTACTCGCCTGCTGCAGTATGCCAGGCGATGCTTTTTGCAGGACAATCCAAGCTCCTCCCTTGCACAACGTCATCCGATCCCGATCTCTCTCCCAAAGCGTCAGCGATAGTCAGCAACATACTGTGGTGGCAGATCAGCGGGGCGGTACGCGCAGCAGGATAAAGCCACACTGTATTTCATCCAAAAAAGAACCAGAAAAGGGGGCGCATCCCACCATTTCTGGAGTTGCAACAACTTCGCCGGCCTGGTGTGCTGATTTCTGAAAGCTGGCCGTGGCTGCACACCGGGAGAACCGGGACATACGGAACTAAAACAGGGACCATTCCCACTAATCTGCAAGGTGTTGTGCTAGTTTTGCAAAGGAAGTGGAAAGAGAAACAACATTGCCTCGGAGGAACTCTTAAGTGTTGGAAACTTCCCAGTAGAGCATCGATCGAGGACCTCCCGCCCACTTTACCTCAGTTCCACAATACTGGAGGGGGGGGAGAGAGAGAGTTCAGCAGGCGCTGCGGTGGATGGAGCAACAAAGGCTATATGGTTAAACTGGAAGAGCTTCTTTGATAAGAACCCAGCGCTCCTTTCTGTTCTTGCCTGCTATTTTGTAAAGCACTTCTACGCCTAAACAGCAATTCTACAGCTGCTTGGATCTCGCTTTGGGGACCAAGCCAGGTTCTCCTTAGTGCAAACTCTCTCTGGCAGACAGGGAATCGCCGCAGACGAGAAATTGATGCTTTGGCACGGAGAAGCGCACCACCAATCCTCTAGTTTTGCGAAAGTCTCCTACTGCTGTGTAAGGGAGGTAGACTAGTTTGGACCGAAGTGGGATTTCCAGAAGTTGCATGCGGGGTCTGTGTTGTGTCGAGTGAGCACTATCCATCTACTCTCAGGTTATCAGACCAGATCCGGATAGTTGAGGTGCCATGGCGGTGTATGTGGGGATATGGGCGCTCCTGTTGGCGCTGAACATTCAAGGTAAGCCGTAGAAATAGACTTAAGCAGTGAATCGTCTGCCTTATTTTATCATTAGCTCCCTGCTTTCTGTGTGTGTGTGTGTGTGTGTGAGAGAGAGAGAGATGCATGATGTTCCCGTAATCACAGACTTGATTAGGCAAATGCACGAATGTGTGGATTGATAAGACTGCATTGCTTATGTTTTGCAACAAAATGTGCGACAGGAGTGAGGAAAAAAAATGGAAAGTGGTGTCTGCCTTTGAATCCAAAACGGCTGCAGAATACTTATTTAGTTGCCAAAAAATGAACTTACCCCGGCAGCAGGCAGATGGCGATAAATGCGAGCCATGTAGGCCAGCAGCCCTTTAAGTTTTTCCAATATTTCATCGTAATGGCAGAGTGCAGAGACACAGAGTGCACTGGAATGATAATTGAAACATATTATCCTCTGCGCCTGCCTGTTAGTTGATTTATTAAAATAGTAAATAATTAGTACTTACAATAATTAAATGTAATTAGGATCGATTTTAATTCCCACATTTTAATCTCTGAATGACACATTGGGGGCTTTGTTTTGTAGTTTCCTTGTCGAATGATTATATTTTCAGAAGAATGACTCATGGTGACGTTTAACTCTCTGTCACACTGAAACCAATTCTTCTGGGAGTTTGTGTTTTGGAGTGGGTGGTGGTGCTGAGCGAATTAACATGTGAATAATGGAAGCAATACTCTGACATTGATCACCCTGGCATTAAAGCTTCCCCAAAGTGGGGCTGATCATTAAGCAAATACCTAAGAACTGTATTTGACTCATTTTTAAGGTGTGTCATTATTAACCATCTTTTAGTTGGAACGCATATTTGTGCATGTGTGTTCATGTTTTTGGTTAGTTATGCAGAGAGGGCTTTTAAGGCCTAGCTGAAGATTTACCAAACTGTTTACATCCTAGACTGATAAACTCTGTAAGGGGCCCCCAATTTAAGTAAACAATGGAAGAAGGTCAAGTGTGGTCTAAAAAAGGTCACACCAGAGTTTCGATGGGCACTAATACCCTCATTCTTCAGGTTGTACGTGTTTACTCGATGTAATATATTGGAGCTCTTACTTTGGTGATCCCCTTTGAGCCTAATAGCTCTTAATAAGTCTTTACTAGAGAAATATTCTGGCACATCCTGTTTTCTTCAACTCCTTTGAGCTTGAGAACAACCAAGATGTTGACCTTGTTCGCAGTGAGGCTCCGTGTGGCTCCATGCATTTAAGACTGATTGAATACTTTGATCAAAAGCCCTGTCTGATTTATATTGAGATGATCCTTTTGCTTGTGGAGAAGATCAGGATTAACTGGTTCCCTTGGGATTCACGGTAGAAATCTTTTGAAGCTGTTCAATGGAGGGAGTGGAAAAATGTCTCGAAAAGTGCACCTAAAGCGTCCTGGAAATGTCTTATTTGAGCAAAGCGAGAAAGGTTTTCTAAGCGTAATCAGAAATATATGAAAATGCTTTGCTCCTATCTCTTTTTTTATTGCTGTAATTTATTTAAAACCAAAGGGAATACATTATTAATGTGTTTCGACATCTTCGCGAAGAGAACAGCTTTGAAAGTTCGTGTTTCAGCATCTGTTTGGACCCATTTCTTTTGACACGCAAAAACAAAGATTTGCTCCTTCACCCTGAGGTTAAAGGGCGTTGCCATAAATGCCCACTAGCTTTGATGGTCTAATTGATGTACAACATGTTCCAGACTCTTTCCTCATTACTAAAGCACAAACAAGTGGGAAAGGCCCTAACAAATGCAAGTCACAGCAACCTCTGTTGCAGTTATCCACGAGGGAAAACCATTTGTGCTTGGTAATAACCATTTGTGCAAAACCCAGCAGTGCCAAACTCATAAACACAGAAATATTCTGAGACGCTCGCCAAATAGATTATCAAATAAAAGGAAGATTGAGAATAATGGATCTGTGCATAATAACAGCAGCTCTGTTCCTGTGTTTGTATATTAGCACTCAGTCTCTCCTGTATTCCAGACTGATATTTAATTGAGTGTGAATGCAGTTAGCAACCAGGTGGTTGTTTATGGCTTGGCTCCATTCTTTTGGCCCCGGTGCAGTAGGAACCCATATAGATATCACTCTGAGTGGTGGGATAAGGGGATTTCCGAGCTCTAATTCCTCATCTTAGTTGGATTTAACGTTTGGGAAATGAACTATGAATGGTGGACGAGTGTCAAGTTTGAATGTGCTATTATTCAGGATTGGAAATTATGTGGCTGTGAATTATAATCTTTGTAATAACTTGGCAGCATGAAAGCTAAAATCATTCTGCTGCACACCCCTGTTGTTCAGCTCTCTTCTCCGTGTTTGTCTACAGTGTTCAGTCATAAGCTACTCTTGTGATGGCACTACACAGCTGCATCGTCTTGCGTCCGCGACCTTTAACTGTGCTTATTTGTTGATTTGATTCTCACATAATGTCCCATGAGACACGTGAATAAGTCTCGATGTTGCCCTTTTTCTTTTTCTTGATATACGGCTTTCTTGTTTCATCCGTCACAGATTAGTCGAGCAGCTAACTACCTGGTTTCTATGTGCAAGCTCATCATCAAAGCCTGACACACAAGACTTTGACTTGTGACGAACGGCAATGTGCTGTGCTGCTGCAGACATTTGAAGTACACTGAAAATCTACTTTTGTTTGGAAATGTCATGCACTCCAGTTGGATTGACTGATTGATTGGGGAGTCAGGGGGTCGAGGGAACATTTCAGGCAAATTCATAAATGGATTTGAAGTCTTTGCTTGATGTTGAGAGTTGAAACAGCCATGCGGATAATTCCTTTTTTTATGACATGGGAGGTAGATATACAGGCTAGCCTGTGGAACATTGTAATTAGCATTTTAGCTTTTAACTAAGTTAAAATGCTCTTTTGAAGAAAACCGTAATTGCCGCTCCGTGACATTTTGCATTTCATTTGGGTGACAGTTGTGATATAATGAAATAGAGAGTGTCACTGTGGGATTGTTGGGCCTTGATGGTTTCGGTGTGAATGCAAATTGCTTTGATCCTCGCTCCTTTGGGGAGTCTCCCGTTGGTCCCCGCTGAGGTGATGGATGGGTGAGAGCACTCTGAGTCCTGGGAGAGTAGCTTGAGGGGAGCTGACAGGAGATTAAGCTTTGCTTTTGCCAGAAGAACTAATGGAGGCACTTGGCCACTCAAACTTCATCTCACTGTGTTTAGCTCATTGGGGTTGTGCTGTCATCTCCTTAGCAAATCCTTCTCAAATCACGGCATGAAATGTCTCTGTAAAGGGTAGATTCTTTTTGTGTGTCTGCTGTCATTATGGAAATTGAATGGCCCTTCATTAATTTCAGGAGGTACTCTCAAACAAGTGATATTTCTTTGTTTTTTCAAAGTATTGCTCTATACACCTCTGCCGAGGACAAGAAGCACATTAAGTCTTTTCTTTGTTAGTTCATGATGCACATTTCCAGCCCCTGTGGTCTTCACATAGAGTCTGCGTGTCACAAAACTGATGAATAAAACATGATGATAAGCACTGAACCTAAATAATGGAAAGGTTATGGCAAAATAGAGTGTTCCTTGCATGCGGATGACTGCACAAATACTATTAAAGACTGAACGAATGTTAAATTAAGTTCATCTTTCCAATTGTTTGGAGTTAATAGCGTAAATATAGGATTGTAGTTATGTTTCAGGGCCCCAAGTTAGGACGTTACAGTCTTTTGCATGTTTCTCTGATAAAGAAATAGTTTGGAGCTGCGCTCCAGTCACTGAATGAAGCTATTTTAGGAGGCGTTTATTCAAATATCACAAGTAGCGTTTGTCCCAGACAACAGCAGTTTAAAGTTACCAGATAGCCTGTTTTGTAAGAACATGCAGTTCAGTATCATATATAATGTTTTATTTGGTCTTTATTTTGGTGTATAGTGTCTGTCAGGTGTCCTCTCTGCATCCTTTGCTGTCTTAACACCAGACAGTCACCATATAGAAACAGGATGGGAAAACACATTTATCAGCAAGCTGCAGCTGCAATTTTATGCTTTAAATCATTGAAATGCTTCTCTGTTTCAAGTCGGATCGCAGTATCAGCAAAGTGAAGGAAAGGGAAATCAATAAAAGGGATCAAATCTAGCCCTCAGCTTTTCTGATTTGGCATTAATCTGTTCAGTCGTTTTCTTTCTGTTTAGCCGAACCTTGTCAAGGGATTAAATGGTTAAACTCCAGTTCTGATCTTGAGAATGAGAATTGACTAACTATACTTGTTCCATATTTTCTTTACTCTTTGTCAGATTGCTGTTGCAGCATCTTAGGATAGGCTTATTATGGTTGCTGACTAGATGTAAATCTTCACAGACGAAAAAGTAAATAATCTCAGATGCTGGAAGGATTCTGACAGTCTGTGCTGTTTTCACGAGACACCGTCTTGGCTTGCCAATAGCTTGTAGATTTTCTCTGAACCGTTTTTTTCCCTTTAGTGCTCCGTTACTATAGTTACTACCTGTAATCTGTCATTTTTGTTGAAAGAAAATTGTATTTATTTCTCCACAGGATTTGCATCCATTTCTGTTTTTCAAAATTGCTGTGAAGGGAGTGCAGCCTTTTAATGGGTCTTTTTTGTTTTTTTTCTTTTTCCTTTCTTGTATTTTCTGCTTCATTGGTTTTAAAGAAGATGCCATATGGAAGTACCATTCATTGCTCATTGCAACTGCGTTTACAACTACAGCATTTAGTCGTGGGCTGATCAGGGATTGAGAGTGTGGATAATTCCTGATCTTTTCACTAAGGCCGTATACTTGTAAATAAAGCAGATCTGATCAGCACAGCTCCCAGCCCCCCCAGTGTGACTGCCTGAAGAAGTCAATTTACAACAGGCAGCTGGGCTGATGGTGTGCCTCCATTAGGGCGCAGAGTACTACTGGAAACCAGTCGGTGAGCAACCTGCTGAGTTTGAAGAAAAAAAGGGGAAAACTGGTGCTTAGAGGTTCCCAAATTTACACATGAT